AAGCACACATCTTATTCGGTCCGCGACCCACACGTATCCATCACCACCCATCCCCAAAACTCTGTAGTGAACCATGAGAAATAGATTCGTCCTGTAGACTGAACGTGCTAAAGAAATTCATTTTTTTTTCTGTAGTGCAGTACAGAGCGTGTGAGTGATTGGAAATCTAATGTAAAGTTGCGCAGCTCACCGTGTTCAGAAGTTCAGAAAGAGAGACCAAACATTGCTTCACACACTCCAGTACTTAGGTTACAGCCGTACACTGCAATCTCGCAAAATGAAATATTGGAAAAGGGTGTATTCCGTAATATAGCATACAAAAATTATCAATTGCTTTCTTTGAAGTTTATTGAGCTCACTGAAAAGTATGAATAATGAAACTTAAAATTAATTAAGTCGCCCATATTGGATCTCAGCAAAATCTCTAGCAGAATTCATGAAATTCATTGAAAAATCCATTTATGACATTGCATACATCAGGTTTTATTATGGACGAATAAGCCTGGAGACTGAAAGTACCACCCAACGCCTGGTGGAAGCCTCAAATATCGAATTTAATCAAAATCTTTGGAACGGTTCTTGTGACACAATGCAAGTTTATTTGTGGTCTTACGTAAACTAGGCTTTATTACAGATATATGTGGCTCAAAACTGAAACTTGCGATGAACATTTTGCAAGTCTTCCATATAGAATTTCAACAAAATCTGCGGACAGGCTTATGAACACAATAAAAATCCCATTTAACTACCTAACTTCATGGAGCTGAGCCCTTCTCGAGAAGCCGCCAATTGTGCAGCTACTCAAGAACTTCTCAGAATTTCATGGAACCCGAAGATTCATTACCGGGTTTACAAGAGCCCCCCACTGCCCCTATCCTGAGCTAGATCGATCAAGTCCATACCGCTCCATCCTATTTAAGATCCGTTTTAATAATATCTACCCACCTACTTCTTGGTCATCTTAGTCGTATTTTTCCTTCTGGCTTTCCCACCAATACTCTATATGCATTCCTCTTCTACCCATTCGTGCTACATTCCCTGCCCATCTCATCCTCCTTCACTTGATCATTCTAATTATACTTGGTGAATTGTACAAGGTATGAAGCTCGTCATGATGCAATATTCTCCTACCAAAAATTCCATTTATAGACTCATGTTAACTAGACTTTATTGTGGACCATATGGCTGAAAGTCTGAATTGCCCAAATTTTATTCGAAATCTTCACTACGGAATTTCCGCTATATATCTGAACGATTTATTGGATATTTAGACGAGTTCATGTATGATTTTAACTAGGCTTTATTTTGGTATTAGCATGGCCCAAAACCGGAACTGATCAACAGAGAATAATTCAAGACCTCCAAAATCAAATTTTAAGAAAATCTGTCCAGCTGATTACGAACAAAGAAAACAACAAACTACGTGGTTTTAGTCCGAAAGCGAACCATGCCGACCGAGCGACCGCCGCTTGTCGGCGAAGTTAGTGCTAACTTTAGCGGATAGAGAGTGTAGCGTGGTCAGCGCAACGGATCCCCACGGCCGTTAATTTCGGTTTTCTAGACCGGAGACGTTACTTCCTTGAAATATCTCCTCAATTATCATCACGAGGCTGAGCGGACCCCGTTCCAGACACACTACTTCTCAGAAAATCTGGTAGAGTCGGGATTCGAACCCCGGACCTCTGGATCTGTAGCCAGGAACTCTAACCACTAGACCATAAATACGGCTGATTACACCCTGATAATCGGTCTCAGAGAGACAGACAGACACACAGACGGACATTCCGCCTTCACAAGTCACGTTCAAAGGAAATAAAGGGAAAAGGGAGAAAGTGACTTAAAGCTGGAACCAGCGCCTCTATACCTGATCATAGCTTTACTGAAGTTGACTCATGAACTACAGGCAGCCTGACGTTAGGTTTTATGGGTCCATAATTTTATGTTGTCAGCGGAGACAACTGAAATAAGGAAACGTCTATAATCTTTTCCATATCCTCAATAAATGATAAACATTTAAATGACTCTACGAGAGTGGCTATTACCAAATAGACTCCTCACTACAATAAGCTATCTGAAGAGATGCAATGCCAAGTATAGCACTGATATCCATAATTTTGTGCGCCTTATACATTACGATTAATTTGTGCATACTCGTGTATCCAAGGAGCTCGAAGCTCCCAATTGTTCTATAATCAGCTACTGCCCCCAAACAATCATTTCGCCATATATTAGAGGAAGAATAACTCAAAAACGGCGTTTCTGAAACACTTTCAGTCTATGTGCTACTTCGACTTAGACTTCGTTTACGACATTTTCAAGGAAGATTTAATTTTTATCACGAAATATGTGTTGTATATTACGAGTATAAATACGATGACATGTAGTTTTTTTTTTAATTTTAAAACTGTATTCATTCTGTATATAGATAAATAAAAAAAAGTCGCAAATATGTCAATGTAGGCGTTTTCGACCTGTGATATGTGAAATAGGTGTATATCTCACCTACCCCTTCATTAAGACACCCAGGGTGTTTTTCGAAAATTCTACAACATTTTAATATTGCTGCCTGATAATTCTACCTTCCCAACGTTAATGTAACACTCTACCTGGTTCACTATAGCATACGTATATTTTATCCAAGGGAATCTTTATTCGCCATTCGCTCCGGTTCAGAACGTATTCTCTGGGTTTCCAAAACTGTTACAAAAAGTGAGCACGCATGCTTATTCCTTCTGTCGCACACTTCACATTTCTGACTTTCATTTCCAGTCTAACAGAGCTCAACCTTGTACAGCGTCACCCTTCAGGCAAGTCAGGGGGTGTGATTCTAACACCCTCGTAGCACAACAATCTATGCAAAGATGCTAGAGGCAATGAAATAAGCAATTTCTTGAAATCATGCAGGATTTGGTGTTCTCACAGCGGTGGTCACGAAGACTTCTATCTTCTGGGATAAAACACCGTGTAGTCCGTTGAAACTTAAGTGACGTTTCGGAGGAACATGTCTCCTCCATTTCCAGGTTCGAAGAATAAGCCAAAAAAAAAAACAGCAAGTGGAAAGCTTTGGTTTACAGACGACGCTTTACTCCGAAACGTCGGTTAGCTTTCAACAGGCTACACGCCGTTATATCCTAGAAGACAGAAGTCTCCATAAAATAATTTTGACAGACGAACAGAACTGTCAGATGGAAGACTGGGGTTCCATTCTTAGATCGCTCTAGACTTGTATTCGAGAGGTATTCGGTTCGAATCTCTGCCGTGGTATCGGCTATCGTGATTAGAGGATTTTTGCGGCCCTTCTCAGTTCCTCCAAGAACTATTGTACTATAACCCCGATTACGTCACGACCACCTCCCCCCAAATACTTTTACATTTACCATTTGATACTCCGCAGTCCAAATAGAGCCCCTTAAGACAAATGCACAACCAAAGAAAGACTTTTTCTCATAGGGTGAGACTGAGTCCATTGGGAACTGCGGCCACTGTTCTATTGTATCAGCCCAAGATGATAGATGATGATGAATGTGGAGCATTTGGAATGAGAATTGGCAGGAGAAGCCGAAGTATTCGGAGAAAACCTACCCCAGTGCCACTTTGTCCACCACAAATCCTACATGGACCTGAACTATGGCGCTGCCAAGAAAGATGCTAGTTCTGCCTTTAATTCCACAACAATACTGAGGCCTATCGCGCCTCTTGTCCAGTGGGTGCTGGGGATGGGTTTTCTTCAGGGGTTAGGCACCCTAAGCGTAGAAATACTGAGGTTAAGAATTGGTAAAACTTTGCGTCCACTCCCTGTGTTTAGTGTCATGATGTGTGCGGAGCCAGAAGAAGGCTTTACAGTTTTTTTTTTTTTACTTTGATATACATTTGTGTCATATATGTCGCCATAAAGCGTATTATATTCCAGCAGGCTAGCCTCATATAGAAGATACGGCAGTGTCAAACCACATAATATGAAATGCATGTTGCGTACATTTGCGGGACGCTTGACCTGGTCACGTATTTTGTCTGCAGCTCCAGAGGTGATGATCGTAGACGAAGAGGGACGCCCTCTGCACGACAAATACTACGAGGCAGAGAGCACCATCCAGCTCTCTTGCATCGTGCGTCACGTCGCCATGACGTCGTCAGTCGTGTCATGGCTGCATGGGGATAGGATGTTGAACTATGATACCACGAGAGGCGGCATTAGGTAAGTGACAAATAAACGCCATCTCACAGAAGTTACTCGTGAATAAAGAACACTGTTTCTGTGCAGCTGCTGGACACTACTGGCTGACGTGTCTGTTAGGCATGTTCTTCTTCAAACGAACAATAGTGATATAACTGAGTTTCCTTTTATGTCACTCTTCTATTTAGTGTACCATTCTTTGTATTTTTGAGTGCGCACACCGCGCAGTCGCCGGTCACAGCGGCCGCGCGGTCTAAGGCATGAACTCTCTTGTGCGTTTTTTCTGTTTATGTTGTTCAGTGTGTAGCAGCCTTGAGACGGGCTGCTAACCCGTCCAAGGAGTCCTACCGACTGTGTGCAGGATTAAGACACTGAAGAAGATAGATAGACAGACAGACCAGACAGACCAGACAGACAGACAGACAGATAGATAGATAGATAGATCTGTCTAGACGGTGTGGAGAAGTTTAAATTCTCTTTCACTTGTCCGAAATCGAACCACGGTCATTCATATCGTACCTAGTCACAATTTTTTTATTATTATTTACTACAATTGGGTGTTCACGCGTGGCAGTAGACCTAACGCACATAAGAATAGAATAATACTTTGAAGATGGGAGCAATAGGTTACTCCGAAACGTCGTTTGTCTCTCGCCGGACTACGCGGTGTTATATATAACCTTTCTAAGTAACGGAGTTCGGGAAGGTACTCATAGCTTGACCTCCCTATTCAGTACTTCAAAGCTTTGTCTATACACCATTATGACCTTCCTATGTCAGACTGGGTCCTTCTGGGTTACGACACCAACTAGTGTATGACAGGCGAGTACCAGGTCTTCCGAGCTACGCGCTGTCTCCATATTCCGGACAAATCCTGAAGAATGTTCCTTCTACACAGTGCTACAATCCTACCAGACTTTACGGAGTCGTAATTTATGAAACCATCTTCAGGTTCTTCACCGCTGTGAAAAAAATTAAATCATGTATCGCCCTGTGAGATTTGGGGTTCCAATGGCGGTGTCGTTGTGTAGCCTGGTGAATTTCGGTGTAACATACTGCCTCTATCTTCAGGGTACTTAAGTAACTTATTCATCTACCCTGAAGATGGACGCAACACGTTCCTCTGGGACGTCGGTAAGCATTCACTAGAGCACAAGACATCATATCCCGGAAGTTCATAATATTTTAATTTATTCAATGCTCTATAACAAATACACTTACAGTCAATTGTTCCCGTCTATAATGAAACGGTTAATAACACCAATTCACACTTAATCTATAAAATAATGTTGTTAATATTATAATCAATCCATGGGTCAATCAATCATACTGAACTGTTTTTTTCATAAGTAAAGAGGTAAAGCTGTCCCTGTACTTAACTATTCAAGCACTACGCTATGTAGGCGTATGGGGAGTGGTTGTATAGATCCACATTTTCTTGACCTCGGCACAAGTTGGAGGTGAGTTGTCTGTTTCACGTTCCGGCCGTTTTAACCCCGGGGGAAAGGTCCCCCAGTACCAAATAAATAGGAGGATGAGTGGACCCCAGAGCCGGTCTGAACGACATGGAGAAGTGAAAATTCTTGACCCCACCTGGACTCGAACACGGACCCCTCTGTCGCCCAGCCAGTAGCTAGTCGCTATACCGACTCATGCTCGAATATATGTTGGTCATGTAGCAGACTACAGATACGTTACTGAATATTACAACTTCAAATCTTAACAAGAGAGGATGCTACTGGATTATTATGCTGAAGATGCTACGTCCAAAGCACTTTGAATTGAGGTGACTCCTATTCCATAGGAACGAATACATCTCTGTTGGGCTGCCCATTGTGAAGACGTACTTAAAGGGGGGATGTACTCTATTGGTATTCTGAACACGTACCACAACGCAAAATGCATTTACCTAACCAATTACATCTGCGTGCGGCCCAAGGGACGCTTGAGAACGTGTCACTTTACCATGATGCAATTAAACAATTTTACATATAAATCAAATATTCATATTTTCAAGACTGAATAAATCCTTACATGATTACATATCTTCAACTTTCCCTTATTGAAAGTTGTAAGCTATGAGGTTCTCACGGCGGTGACTATGAAGAATGCCGTCTTCTGGGATGTGGCGTCGTTTAGATATTGTGTAAATTGACGTTTTGGAGGAATGTATTACCTCTATTTTCAGGGTGTAAAATCCGCGAACGAGGAACCAGCGTGAGTCTGCAGCCACCTGCTCACGCCGGTTCCTCGCTCGAAGATGTTTACATCCTGAAGATAGAGGCGATTCGTTCCTCCGAAACGTCGATTTACATAATATCTACACGGCATCACATCCCATAAACTGCAGTTTTCATTATTAAAAGTTTATCGTACAGCTTGCATTTTGGAGTCAATGAAATTGAAACGTCATTAGAATCTACTAACATTTACTTTAAGATGTCCAATGGCTTACTTTTAACTCCTCAAAGCCTGAAGAAGGGAAAGAGAGAAAGTAGACAGGGTGTGGGAGGAGGTTAGTAAGAGACACTACTTTAAGAGGGAAACAAAACTTTTCGGCTTCGAGAATTCCCAAGGCCGCTCGTCATTCTGGTAGAAGAATGTTCAAGGCAGGGTAAAGCTGTCACTCGCTCACATCTGGAACTGAGTCCATCTTGAGAAGCTGCCAATTGTGCAGCTACTCAAGAACTTCCAAGCATTTTATGGAACCCGAAGGTCCATTACCGTGTTCACAAGAGCTCTCCACTGGTCCCTATCCTGAGGGACCATGTTAGGTGGGTCCCTGTCATCACGGCATGGCGCGTCTTCAGGTTGCGGATGGAGTAGACGCCCTCCAGATATGGAGGGTAGCTTTGAACATATTGAATAAACAGTCGCAGTCAGCCGACAAGGGGTGGTCCTCCAGCTTTGGGGTTGGGAATGGTGCTAACAACTTCTGACCGTAAAAAAATAAGCTTGCTACGAACATTTTCAAGAAACCTAGAGCAAAGCTGTAGAAAGTGAAGAAGGTAAAGAGCTAGGATGTTGACTTTGTTATGAGCAGAGAATAGAATTTTATTGCGTGTGACTGGAAATAATTTAGTTATTAATGCCGAGGGGCTGCAATAGGGTGAAAGTTAGATTTAATATCGGAAGGGCTGCATGTGAAGCACGCAGTGCAGCGTTTGAATTTAGGTAGCAGCTGAGCAGAAACCAGGGAAAATATTGCTCGAGTTAGCAAGTCGCAGAACTTTCCGGGTCAAACTGACTTCTAGACAGCGCCTCTTTCTTGCTTGCAGGAAATATATACTTCGTCTGAATTTCAAATACAAATTGGTTAGGGTTCTTCAGGGAAATAAATGCTGTTCATTCCATGAGCATTACTAAACTAAGTGAGGCAAGCAGATTGATCTAGTCATAATATTTCAGACTTTTATTCCTGAGGTTCCCTGTTCGATTCTCGACCGTGATACAATCTATCCTCAATGACGATTTGGTTTTCTTCAGTTCCTGCATGCAAATGAAACTAGGCCATGACCTCTCCAATCCAATTCGTCATTCATGTTATCATCCTAACATTCGGAGCTAAATTACTGCTATAGATTTTTTTTATTGCTAGTGGGGAGGGGCTACGTCCCTTGTACTGCGGCCACTTCTGGCCTATTGTACCAGCCCCAGATATAGGTGAGGGTGATTGTGGAGCAATTGGTGGAACGAAGATTGGCAGTAGAAACCGAAATACTCGGAGAAAACCTGCCACAGCGCCACTTTGTCCACCACAAATCCCACTTGATCAGACACCGGGATCGAACCCGGGCTGCCGAGTTAGGAAGCCACTAACTAACCGCTTGAGCTATGGCGCGGCTTAAACAGAACGTTACTTCTATACATCTTTAAGAATCGAAGTCCATATTGTAGGGTTTTGGAGTCATATTGCCGATGATACTGTATTGGAAAGTAGTAAAGTTTTGGAATTTCCGTGTACTGCAGGTATGCTGCCTTGTCAGCAGGCGCAGACCTGGTACGCTGGTGCGAAGAGCTTGATGAAATCAATACACGGTCTGTGTACAAGCTGCAGCCCTAACATGAGCTCCAGAATGATCTAATATTCTGTATCAAATTTCATTATTTCAGATATTGTGAAACAGCTGACAGGTTTTTATACTGCCTGCGAAGTCTTCGGCCTAGATTTGGAAGCACAAGCGAAGTGTATCAATTTCCCCGGAGAATTCAATTCACCCAGAATGTCGCAACCCCTGGATGGCATTCCTCGAAAGAGGCGCTAGGCTTCGTACACAGATGGGAATAAACATGATACTCTTTCGTTGGTTGGTTTGTTTAAAGGAGATGTACATCTTACGTTTTCGTTTGGGCCGCGCCATACATCAAGTGGTTAGTGGCCAGAAGTGGCCGCAGTACAAGGAACTTAGTCCGTCCAGGTGCAGAATACATTAAACCAATACTGCATTTGATCCTGTAACTGAATCATATGAATACGGTAATTAATTATAGGGTTAAAGAACAGGTGGGGTATTTCTTAACCAAGTTTACTTATATCAACTTCCTCACGAATGGCTGCTGTGTTCTTTTACCGTCTTTAACACGAGAAACGTTACAAGAACGAGTTAGAGGCCGATACAAATAACAAACCAAACTCCGGCAGATGTTCGCGAAAGTAGTTAGTTTTGTACAAAAGCAATAATTAGAGTGTATTTATTATTGTCTATAAATTAAGCAGAGGAATAACGAACGTCAATTAAAAGGAGAATGATAGCATACATAATTATTTTGTCTGCCCTATCTTCATTTGCTTGCCAGTGCTTTTAGTTTTCCAGTTGTATACGTGTACAGTTAACCCCACTGTTCCCTCAGACTGAGTAACTTCAAATGAGAGTCTGTTTATGGTTCATGCTTAACTTCAGAGGGAAAGTATTTCTACAGGCGCGGTGAATGCAGTTTCGCTGTAACTTTCACGAAAGAAGGATGGAATATATCCAAAAGAAGTTCAAATTTACGTGAAAAACATTTCCGAGCTTCGGCGA